GGCCGGGCGAAAGGGGGGGATAGCAAAGGGGGGGCTTGAGAATCAGCTCACGTAGCTGATTTTCCCGGCGCCTCCCGGCGCTGGGAGGCGCACATGTATCGAGGAATGGGGCCGGCGGCGGGGCCGAAACCAGCTGCATGCAGAAGATTTCGTAACCCCCCGTTCCCTGTCCCCCCCTGCCGTTCGCCCCGAGAGAAGCGAAGGGATTGGCACGTGGAGATGCGTTGTAGCCTTCAGTCCTGGGCCAAGAGAATCGCCGAAGCATCGTGGCCAGGCTGTGTCTCGACGGTGCCTGGATATCCCTCCTGTGGAGGGACGTGCCCGACGGAACGCCGGGCCGGGCCTGCAGGAGGCGGGCGGGGGGGCTGGGCAGGCCGAGGCCGCCGAGCCGAGCGCGACGGACGTCGAGAGGTCTCGGACGTCACGGAGCACCCCGGGAGGCAACTACTGGGAGGTTTTCGTCGGAAAGAGTGAGGAATATTAAGCCCCAGGTTGGGAGCTGTTGCGCCGGGGTGGGCATCGGATGAAGCGGGAGCAAGCCGGATGGAGCGGGATTAGGCGGGATCGCGCGGGATTAAACTGGATTAAACGGGATTAAGCCGGACTTCGGACCAGGGTAAAAATCATAATTTGACCTCCCAGGAGTTGCATACCACTGCGGACGTGACTGCAGCGGATGTTTGCGCGGAGATCTCTGCCGATGCAGAGCCGTGTGTTGCTCCCATCGTGTTTACAGACCACATCCCAGAAATAGTCTCGAGCACCCGGAAGAGTGTCGAGACGGCGTCGAAGAGGCGTCGTACGAGTGTGCCCCAGGGTCCGACGCGTGAAAACCCTCGAGTTTCGGTACATTCTTGGTGCTCGAAATTCTCTGTGGTGGTCAAGGCTACAGTAGGTTGGAACATCATAAGCAAAGCCCCCAGAACGGCGAGCTAGAAACGAAGTAAACGTCACGTGGATGTTTTGGAGTCTTCTTCGTTCCTGACCAGAAAAAGACTCCGCGCACAGTTCACTTCGAAATGCGGCACTAGATGTTCTCCAGGACAGTCTGGGCCCATGCCATTGTTTTCCCAGCGACATCCGCTCTGCGATGCTGGCGCTATGACAGATGCCATGGCGGTTGACTCTGAGGCGCGATCCTGTGGACACGCGATCCCGTGGACACGTTCCGCGCGGGGCGTCCGCGCAAGGCCGCCTTGCCTTCCCGCGGGGGAACGCCACGGGGGAACTGGCACCGCGGGGGGAGGGGGGGAACATCGACCCCGCATTGGCGATACAGCAGGAGCCCGACCCCAAGAAACATTCCACAACAAACCTTCTGAGACCTCAGGACGCCCGTGGATGTTCGGCGCGGGAACGTCGCGCTTTCCACGGCAAAGCCTGCGAAGCCCAGGGAAAAACCTGGGGCACCCTGGAGGCAGGCAAGGTGCTCTTGGCATGGGCCCCCACTGTACCTCATCGACTGATCGGAGATAGGTCCCCAAGGGGGACCCCCCCTATTCTTAGGTCGGGCCTGTCCCCCTACAGGGGGATTTTGGACGACAAATGAAACATACTCCATCAATACTCCACACATGTTCAAACACAGTAGTAAAGAAATAATCCCCAGACTACTCTTTGACTTCTTTTGGATATCCCTCCTGTAGAGGGGCAGGCCCGACTTGACCCTGCTCCTGGGCAAGTGGGGCCACCCAGGCCCCCGCGAGCGGGCGACAGCTCCAGGGCCCGGCTCCGCGCGACCAAGGCGCCCAAGAGCCTGTTTTTTTAGACTCTGGCAAGTTTACTTGCATGGACGGGGGGGGGGGGCTGAGCCTGAAGCAAGCCCGGGGGGGGGGGGCGCGGAAATCACGCAAGTCGAAAGGCACTTGCACGCTAGTATTCGCTTGAAGAGGGGCGAGGGGGGGGGGGGGGGCGAACGCCATGCAAGTAAACTTGCCTGAATCAACAAAAAAAACAGGCGCCCAGCAGTGTGCGAGACCTGCGACGCGGGGACCCCGGGGCCGGAGGAGGAGGAGGAGGAGGAGGAGGAGGGGGAGGAGGAGGAGGAGGAGAGGAGGAGGAGGGAGGAGGAGGAGGAAGAGGAGGAGGAGGAGGAGGAGCAGGAGGAGGGGAGGAGGAGGAGGAGGAGGAGGGAGGGGGAGGAGGAGGAGGAGGAGGGGCCCGCCGCCCCGACATCTCCCACGCCTCGTGCGCCGTCGAGCCTCGAGGGCCCCCCCGGAGCCTCGACCCTCTCTCCCTTGGGGCCGGCCTCTCGCCCCGAGTCGTTTTTTTGCATCGGCAGCCCCGGGGCCCGAGACCAGCGCACCCCGCGGGCGATCCTGGGGCGGTCTTGGGGGCCTCTGGGGCCGTCCTGAGCCGTCGGAGTGCCGAGAAGAAGCACATGCCCAAATCCATGGAAAAAGCTTAGGAAGACCAGTGATTCTGGCCTCTTCGAGCCCTCCTGGAGGACCTCTCGGAGGCCTCTTGGGTCGCCTTCTTGGGCCGTCTTGGAGAGACCGACAATTCAGAAAAAAACTCCTCCGCTGGCCCACTGACAGCCACTAGGCTGAGAGGGTTGAGTGTCTGCTCCGAGTACTCAGCTCTCGGGTCCTCGGTTCCGATACCAGTTCAACTGCAGCTTCTTTGTTCCAAGGTCCCAATTTTTACAAATCATGGCTCCTCGCTGCAAGGTTGAAAAAGGGCGAAGAACGTCAGCCCCCCACGGCCGAAAAGCATCCTGCTACCACTCTGGAGCCACATCCTCCGAATTCCTGGGTGGCCTGGGGCAAAGAACAAAACTGCAGAGGCGCGCCGCTCCTGGGGTGCCACACATCTTGTGTAAGCTACAACGTATAGGTGCTTCTCGAGTCACTCGGCGATGGACAGAACCCCTTTAGTAAAACGTGATTTAGTGAAAAAGACCTAGGGCCCAAACCTGGCGGGCGCAAGCCTGTAGAATACCGCGACACCCTCTCGAGAACCGAAAACGGACAATTCACGAATCGCCATGTCAGGGTGGGGGGTCTGTCCGCCCCCGAGCCACAGCCCCCTGTAAATCACGACGCACACCCGCTCCCGAGGACACAACCCCCTGTGCGTTGGACAGGTGCCCGCTCCTGGGGCCGCAGCCCCTCGTCAAGCATGCAGAGCGCGCGCGCGCTCCCGAGGCCACGACACCTTGCGCGCTCCCGCGGCCACAGACCCAAGCAGAGCACGGCGCGCTCGTGCTCCTGTAGGAAGGCACCAACTATACACCAACACCGATCCTGGCCAGGATCGGTGTTGGTGTATAGTTGGTGCCCTCCGATCCTGGGGAGCACAATCCGTAGCAGATCAAACATTTCGCGCCCCCGAGGCCACGACACGAGCAGGAAGACACCGAACGCACACCCCGAGGCCACGGTCCTTACAAACATAGGACGGCCATGCATCCCGGCTCACGTCACGCCCCCGAGGCCGAAAAATTCCGCGAGAAGTCGAGCGCGCTCGCTCCCGAAGCAACCACGCCTTGTACATTACAGAAGATGCACGGTCTCGAGGTCACCATCTCCCATGGATTGCTACAGAACCGCGCAACCAGCCAGCCAGCATCACAGCCCACACCAACTGCCAACCACTTGTTTTCACAGCAAGCCAACCAGCCGAGTTGCCAGCCAGCCGACCGTCATGAAGAGAAACTGACCAACCGACCAAGCGTGGCCAGACAAGCAGTCTCAGAGGGGAACGGCGGCAGAGGACGAAGCCCTTCAGATATTGAGACGCCGCCGTTGTGTGAACCCCTGAGGCGCTCAGCGCAGAAGCTTCCTCCATAGCTTCGCGAGCACAATGCGCCGCCGTCGATGTTCTGTTGAATATGGGATGGGTTGGGCACGCCCCCCTCCACCCTGGGAATTTAAGGCGTTTGATCCTGACCCTGCTAAGCCAAGGTGAAGGTGGGTAGCACAGACGATAGGGTGGTCGACCATAACAGCGAAACTGATGTGCAACAACCTTCACAAACTGCATGTGAACACAAAAACACGGCTGGGGGCGACGGGTCCCGGGGGCGGGGTCCCGTATCAGAGTACAGTCCCTCCCCCCGCCACGTTCCGAATAATATTCCTGCAACTTTGATCCAGGGAGGCAATTTCCGAATCAGATGTCCGAATTTCAGCAATTCAGGTCCAAGACTGTCCAACGAGGGGCCTGAGACGGTTCCGAAGAGCTCCAACTCGGCCCCAGATGCTTCAAGACTGCCCGGACCCCCAAGACGACCCAAGAGGGCTCCAAGAAGGCTACAAGAAGACCCCCCGGAGACTAACAAGCCCACAGAGCCCCCAAGAGACCGCCAGACAGCCCAAGAACCCCCCAAAGACAGCCCAAGAGGCTCCCAAAAGGACCACAAGAGGGGCTGCAGCAGGGAACCCGACCTGTAATTTCGAGCTTTCCATTTTATCCAAGACCGTCAGCCGGCCCCAAAAGAGAGGAACCCAAAGAACCCTCTCGAAGACCCCCAAGTCGCTCCCAAGAGGCCCTAAGATACAACAGAAATGCATCTACTAGGCCTCCCGAGACTCCCCAAACGGGCCTCTACGAGTTCGCGACCTTCCTGGGGCCTTCCTCTGGATCTCCCTTCAGGGTCTGCGGAACTGGCCGGAATGCATGTCCAATCAGGCACCTAACGTAGAATCAAGTAAAACCATACTTGACAACAAAAATCGCAGTTGATATCCTTCCCGCCCTAAGGTGTCTTATCAGCAGCAGGCCAGACGTACAAGTACAGATGCGACAACGATATACGACGCATGCATTACAAGCCAGCTTTGGAAATACGCACTACACGTGAGATGCCCTGCTGCGCTCTCAAACTCTCTTCAATGATTGCACACAGTTGCTGGCTGGCATTCTGGCCCCTCGTACGGGGTGCCCTGGAACAGGCCCATCCAGAAATGACGCACACGCGCACACACAAACGTGCTGGTGCTGGAGCCGTGCGACGCCGTGCCAGCCACGCCTCCCCGGGCAGGCCGTGCCGCTCCCGCCTGACGCGCCGCTGCCGAAGTGCGGGAGCCAATGCTCCCGGAACCAGCAGACGGTGTCCGCCCAGCCCTCCCGGAAGCCGATCACGGGCCGGTAGCCTGCCCGACGCCCCCCCCCCGCCCATATGCTTCGGCGGTGGACAAACCTCCTCCTCCTCCTCCTCCTCCTCCTCCTCCTCCTCCTCGGTCGGTCGGTCGGTCGGAGCTAAAGGCCAGTTCGAATCGAAGCCTCTCCTAGGTGTGGGAAACAGGGCAAGGGAAAATAGGGCAGAGCGCTCATATAGAGCAGGGCTGCAGGGCGCGTGCAGTTAGACATCAGGGGTCAAGTCCAACACGGAGGCCAACAGCAAAAAAGAGGAGCGGGGGCCGTTACAATGCAGGGAACGGGTCCAAGGGCTTCCAGTACTCGAATCCACCCCCGAGAACATTCTCCACTTCACCCCCATCACTGCACAGTAACCCTTTCCTCCACTCATGTGTGAAAGCGGACGCAAGCACATCATAGAACCCCGAATACAACTCACACTGCCAGTTGGGCACTCTCCCGTCAAGCCCCGTGTGGCAGTGCCCGTCCCTGCAAACTCCCCAGCCTTTCTCCCTCAGCTCCCCCTCAAGAGTGTCCAAGGACACACTCCACAAAGCAACCTCCTCCTCCTCCTCCTCCTCCTCCTCCTCCTCCTCCTCCTCCTCCTCCCTTTAGTGAACCTCCCCTTAGCGGGAAGCGGCCTGGGGCCGAAACCCGCGGACAGGGACCCGCAAAAACGACGGCCGCGACGCCCCCTCGCGAGCCGAAAACGGCCCATTCCTTGATCGGCGCGTCAGGGCAGGGAGGTCTATGCGCCTCCGAACGCTCCGCTCTCGCGGCGCGGGGCGGCCGACCGAGAGCCCGGGGGCGCTCCGAGGGGGGGGGCAGCGGGCCGAGCGGGCCCTGGCGCTTGCCGTCGCTCGGACGTCCGTTCCCCGTGCATGTGTCGGTTTCGTGCGTGCTCTCTTTGCCAGCTGGTCGAGGATGCTCCTCGAAGGTCCTCGCCGAGAAAGAAGATGCACACGTCCGAGCGATGCCGAGGGCGAAGCAGGGGACGGCATGGAGAACGACCTCCGTCTGTGAGTACCGTTTCACAGATCCACATCACCGGCGGCGCGGCCTGGGCCCCACTGGCCGATCTACCCCCCTGGATGGGGATATATAGGTCGGACCCTTGGGGTTTCGAGGGGTGTAATTATCCCCAACCAGGGTGGTAATTTGGCGGGGGTCTCGAAGGGGACGGGGATGGGGATGGGGATTGGTTGAACGATGCCGAGTCTGCCCTCTCTGCCTCGGCTGCGGCAGGCCTCTGTCGAGGCGACCCCGGCGTCAGTTTCTGACACTGCGTGGATCGCTACAGTCGGGGCGTTGACCTGAGGAACCCCAAATAAGGAACGAGGCCCCTTTTTCCCACAAGCTCAGCTCCGATTTCTCCCATCGGAAACCTCAGGAAAAACCGAGCAAACTGTAAAACTGTAAACAAGCAAGGAACTGCAAAACTGTAAACCGAGCAAACCATACAACTGTAAACAAGCAAGGAACTGTAAAACTGTAAAACTGTAAACCGAGCAAACTGTAAAACTGTAACCGAGCTTCGATTCCTCCCATCGGCAAACTGTAAAACAAGCAAGGAACACCGAGCCTCTCCCCAACGAAAAGGGTTCTTTCCTCAGCGCCCTCCTCCTCCTCCTCCTCCTCCTCCTCTCCTTCCTCCCAACCTCCTCCTCCTCTCCTCCTCCTCCTCCTCCTCCTCCTCCTGCTCCTCCACCTCCTCCTCCTTCCTCCTCCCCCTCCCCCTCCTCCTCCTCCTCCTCCCCTCCTCCTCCCCTCCTCCTCCTCCTCCTCCTCCTCCTCCTCCTCCTCCTCCTCCTCCTCCTCTCCTCCTCCTCCTCCTCCCTCCTCCTCCTCCCTCCGTCCCTCCTCCCTCCTCCCTCCTCCCTCCTTCCTCCTCCCTCCTCCCTCCTGCTCCTGCTTCCTGCTCCTGCTCCTGCTCCTGCTCCTGCTCCTGGCTCCTGCTCCTGCTCCTCCTCCTCCTCCTCCTCCTCCTCCTCTCCTCCTCCTCCTCCTCCTCCTCCTCCTCCTCCTCCTCCCCCTCCCCCCCCCTCCCTCCCCCCCTCCTCCTCCTCCTCCTCCTCCTCCCTCCTCCTCCTCCTCCTCCTCCTCCTCCTCCTCCTCCCTCCTCCTGTAGACCCTGGCCCATCGGCGGCCTCTCGACCTCGCCGCGTCGTTGGCCCGGTGGCCGGGGTGCCGTTCCAGCGGCGGCGTGTGTCCCCTCGACCGCCAACTGCGCGGGGGTCGCAGCCGCGCGGGCGCGGCACGAGTAGGGGGCCACGTGCGAAGCCTGGCAAACCATGCAGTGGCAGGGAGGGTAGGGCCTGGATGTTTCAGAAAACTGTACATGCGAGCGAGCTTTCATCCGATGCTTCTGTGCAGTGCTTCGGTCGCCGCGTCGTCGCCCGGTGGCCGGTGCTGTTCCACCGGCGGCGTGCCACCTCGAGCGCCACCTGCGGGGGTCGCAGCCGCGCAGGCGCGGCACGAATATCGGGTCGGGCGAAAGGGGGGGGTAGCAGAGGGGGGGTCTGAGAATCAGCTCACGCAGCTGGTTTTCCCGGCGCCTCCAGCGGCTATGTATCGAGGAATGGGCCCCTCGGTGAGGCCGAAACCAGCTGCATGCAGCAAATTTCGTACACCCCCCTTTCCCAATCCCCCCCTTTCGTCCGGCCCGAGAATAGGGGGCCACGCGCGAAGCCTACCCCCACCCCCCACGATTTCTGGGGGGGAGGGTGGGGTTCACTGCGCTCGGGAGCTCCCCGAGCGAAGTGAACCCCGCCCTCCCCTTAGAAATCGTGGGGGGTGGGGGGTAGGGTTCGCACGCACGTGCCCCCCTAACGAGACTGCCGTAGTGTGATCATAACCCAGAGCTGGTGTGGCAGCCAGTGTCCTCGTGTGCACCAGAGTCGTTCTGGCTCTTCACAGAGAGGCCTGTCCCATTTTCGTCAATTCTCTTACAGGACCCGAAGCCCTGGACTGGCACATCGATGCCCCTCCCCTCCCATCGATGCCCCTCCCCTCCAAGGTCACGCTCGATTGCACTGATGCGGAACCAGCGGTTCATGAGCAACATCCTGACAGAGAAGCACGTGAGCTTTGGCTTCAGGCCGAACCAGCCGCCCACGGTCTGACACAGCCAGCCCACGAACATCATCAACCTCTCAGCTCAGATTCGATGGCATGCTAGTGGCAGATCGAGGCCGCTGCGGAACTAAACTTTTGAAAGAGCGCCCGAGGGTACGGGCTGGAGATGGTTCGGGAGGAGTCCACTGCCAAGCGCGCTGACTGTCTCCATGACGAAAAACACGCGCCAAGTTGAAAATTCACTGGCCACCATGGAGGTGCTGGCATGGGTATTTGCACTGTGCAGGTGCGAATGACTCCTCAAATCAGTCGCCAGCCCGTCCCCGAGCACGCTGTCCCTGAATCTCCGCACCCTAACATGCGTTCCTTCTCTTGATTCCTCAACTCCCCCCCTCCCTCTCCGACCATGCGTCTGCTCCCTCCCCCCGCCATCCTACTACCATCCCTCTGTGCCTTTCTCCTCCGCACCCCTCTCTCTCCTCATCCCCCCTGCGACTCTCCAGTCCTCCCCCTCCTCCTCCGCAGCCTCGTCCTCCGTCCTCCCCTTGCTGCCCCTCGTGCGTCCCCTTCTCCCCGCTCAGGCCGAGAGCACGACCAGGCGGGCAGGTGGCACTTGCCCCGGATGGGCTTGAAACCCATGTCGGTGATCACCTCGGCTCGCGGCCCGGCCCGGGGCGAGGCTGGACATCTCGAGGCGCTGCGGCGTCGCAGGCCGATGGTCCGCGTGCCCGCGCCCAGGAGGCCGCGAGGACAGGCACTGGCAGCCAAGGGCGCAGGGAACTCGCACCGAACCGGCACCACGAGGATTCGGGGTCGCGGCCCTGGAGGGTCGCTGAAATCCATCTGCCCTCCAGCGGACAGGCGCTCGAAGACTTCGGGTCCGCATCCAAAAATGTTCGAGGCCGCACCATCCATAATCGTATTCAGATTCGCTCGTTCGATGCCTCGCGTTCCATGTTGGCGGCAAACCACAAGGTATGGGTTTGACGCTCCGGCAGTCCCATATGATACGACACTGCCGAAGCGGGAATTCAGGGACGAATCTGAATCATGTTCAACTCCACAACATGGCGTCGATGCTCTGAAGGCCATGTCGCGAACCTCCATCCACAACGTGCGCACTGGGCGTCCACAGAATCCCACCAGCCTTCTGGGCGTAGGGCACTGAAGGGAGCCAGCTCCTCGGTCTGGACGGATATGCCTCCAAGAGGCCATGCTATTTCCAAAATACGGTTTTTTGTGGGCACGGGGCCGCAAAGCAATGCCCCCAGTAGGCAAAACAACGTCAAACAACGAATACGCGTTCAATGATTTCAGGTTTCCATGTCCTTCGTGCACGATCAGCTCCTGGAGCCTCGAGACCTCACGATGGCCCCGAAGATGGCGCAAGAGTGCGTCGAGAGAAGCACATCACTGATCCCAAACTGCCCCTAAGAGGCCCCCAGGAAGGCCCAAAAGAGTATCCCGAGAGGGCCCTTGGAGGCGATGCTTCGGCACATGGCTTCCAGAGACGTAAGTCCTGGCTGGCTACTGATATCTTCGCGCCTTTCCGCTGCCATTGGGAATTTCGGATTCGGTCGGACTTGTCGCCCTAGGTGGGGATTTGGGGCGAAAAGGTAACAATACTCAAAAACACTCTCCCAACATGCTTCGAAATAGTCAAAAAATCGTCCCCACACTATGTTTTGATTATTTGTTTGAATACCCCCCTGCGAAGGGACAGGCCCGACTTAAACTCAGGAGTCAACCCGAAAAGCCTTCGCGACGCCCCGCCAGCAGGACCTTCAGCCTCCCCGAAGAGATACGAAGAGGAGCGCTTGTAAAGGCGACGGGGCGACTGCCCCGACGCTGCATGCTCCGAAGTTTCTCCGGTCCAGACCACTCGCCTGGGGATCGTCTCAAGATGAACTGGGAGGCATACGCGAAGCGTCAAAAATTCGAGGCCGGGAAACTGCATGAACGCCCCAGGTTGAATTAGGATGCGCGTACACACAAGTCATGCCGTCGACGCGTGCGAACTGTACGTTTTTAACTCGCAGCGGCGCTGATCCAGCCCGCGGTCGAAGGCAGACGAGGACACTGCGGGGCCGACTTGGGCACAGCAAGCAGAAGGAGGGAGCGGGCAAAGGGGTGAGGGAGCCGAAAGCGGCGGCGCAAGCTCAGCGCATGAAGTGCTTGCGCGCGCATGTCGGAGCACAGGCCTGCACAGCACGAGGAAGAGAACGGTGCCCGAGGAGGCGATATGCGCACACAAGCGCATCTCGCGAGCGAGAGGGTTGG